ATCCTTCCAGTGAAAAGACCCCCCGTTCCAAATGGGAGACAATATCTGCACCTCCAAACCCCTTATGTGGCTAATATACATAATCTACAAAAATCTCAATTCAGGAACAAAACCAACCAATCCAATCAGAAAGTGGATCAGAGTGAAACAGATATTTCTCCAAAGATGGCCTAAAATGCTCATCATCACTTATCAGGGAAATGCAAACCAAAAACATAAAGAGATACCAAATGACACCTGTAAGAATGACTCATAAAACAAAGACCAGAGATTATACGTGTTGGTGAGGATGTAGGAGAAAAGGAATCCTTGTACTGTTTGTGGGCTGTAGACTTGTCCAGCCCCTATGAAAAACAATATGGAAGTTTCTCAGTATATTAAAAATATATCTACATATGATTCAGTAATTCTATGCCTACATCTATCTGAGGAACTAGAAAAACACTCATTTGAAGGGATAAATGCACACTTATATTCACTGCAAAAGTATTTATAGTATCAACTTATGGAAACAATCTAAATGCCCAAGGAAATATGAGGAGGTTAAGAAGATATAGTATATATACAAAAACGACTCCTATGCAGCTATTTAAAAAAAAAAAAAAAAAGAACTCTTGGGCCTCATTGGTGGTGCAGTGAGTTAAAGTCTCAGAACTATAAAGCAATCTGGAACTATGAAGTGATGCAACACCAGTTTAGAGTTCTATGCCCAGCCATACTAACCCGTATGCCACAGCAGACCTCCCCTGACCTACCCACTGTTCCCCTCAGCAGTATAATTCAATCTGCCTGTTCTGCCTCTATTATATCTGAGGTGAATCTTCTCACCCTCTGCACCTCTGGCCTATACCCCAGTTCTTGCATGCATAAATAAATAGATCTTAAAAAAAAAAAAAAGATGAACTCTTGCTGCTAGTTGCCCAGCAACTGAAGGTGCTGTTATCACTGGAGTTGATAATACTAAGTGAAATAAATTAAAAGAAGAAATACAAATACTGGATGGTTTCACATGTATATGAAATAATGAAGAAACAAAACAAAGGGTCAGATAAAACAAAACCAATGACAAACCATGAAAATGTATTTATAGAATTGAGGATACTAGATGGGAAAGGTGTGGAGAAAAAACAGTGTGGAGGGAGGGAGGGAGCCCAGTGGATAACAGTGGAGGACTTTGGATGCCTTTGTGCTACAAGGAGTGTGGTAACTCATGTTTGAAATTATGTAAACCTATAGTTCTGACTCATGTAGACTGTTCTAAACTGTTACTTCAATAAAATAAAATTCTAGATATATTCTTACATATAACTCAACAATAATATTCCTTGTTATTTGGCCAGAGGAGTTGAAACCTTATGTCCACACAAAAAAAATCTGCACAAAGTTTTTATACTAGTTTTACTTATAACTGCCAAAAATTAGAAGTAAGGTGTCCTTAAGTAAGTAAATATATAAACAAATGGTAGTCTATCCAGATGATGGAATATCAATCAGTACTAAAGAGAATGAACTATTAAGTCATGTAAAAACTTGGAGAAACCGGGCCCTCCCTGGTGGTCCAATGGGTTAAAACACTGCATTATGAAGCTATGTAGCCACTGCAGCATGAGGTTCATCCCCAGCTTGGGGGGGGGGCAGGGAGGGGGTGGCCCACATGGCATGGCAGAGACCTCTCCTGACCTGCCCACTGCTCACCTTAGCAGTATATTTCAGTCATTCTGACTGTTCTGCTCCCCACACTGTCACTGCTGAATCTTCTCATCCCCCACAGCTCTGAATTGTACCCCAGTTCTGTCTATATATATAATTCTTTAAAAAAAAAAAAACTTTTAGAAACCTTAGATGCATATTACTAAGTGAAAGAAGCCAATCTGAGTAGACTAACTACTATATAATTCCAAAAATGATATTCTGAAAAACAATGGAAAAAGTAAACGTTTCAGTGGTTGCTAGGGTTGGAGGGGATAAATAGTTGGATTACAGAGGATTTTTTGGACACTGAAAGTACCCTGTAACACTACAATGATGGTCATATCTCACTACATCATATTCAGCCAACTTCAGAGAATGTACAACAGCAAGGTTGGACTTGATGTAAGCTCAAGAGTTTGGATATATAACCTGACAATATCGGCTCATCGATTTTTTAAAGATTTATTTATTTATGCATACAGAACTGGGGCACAAGCCAGAGGTGCAGGGGCAGTGAGACGAGTCACCAGAGACAGAGTGGGGAGCAGAACAAGCAGATTGAGGAAATACACTGCTAAGGGAGCAGCAGGTGGATTAGGAGAGGTCTGCAGTGCCATGTGTCACCTCCTGGGCTGGGGAATCAAACTTGGGCTGGAGAATCGAACTTGTACTGAGGCAGCTGCGGCCAGCTTGCAATGCAGCGTCCTAACCCACTGCGCCACCAGGGAGGGCCGACCTATCAATTTTAACAAGCATACCACACTGGTGAGGATGATCAATATTGGGGTATGCATGTGTGGGGGCAGAGAGTGCATAAGAAAGCTCTGTACTTTCTCAATTTTGAAACTATCCAGTATGTGTCTTTCTAAAACTAAATCTTCAATTAAAAAAAAAGCATACTTTATACTAATATATTACCTTATTATGGCATTCTTGCAAAAATGGCAAGATACTTGCATTTATCTAAATTATATTTTTATAAACTAGTGTTGCCAGAGATATTAAGTTATCCCCACAGTATTTTAGAGGTAATAAATGATCTACTCCCTACTCTAATTTAGGTTTGTCTGAGTATATCACATCTATATTCTTTCTACTTTACTAGGAGTCAATAAACTATAGACTATATAACTATAGTCTATAACTATAGGCTATCAGTCAAATGAACTTAATTTTTGCAAATTAACTTTTACTGAAACACAGTCACATGAATTACTGTCTATGACTATCATATCACAATGGAGTTTAGTGTTAGAGACAGAGATATAAGGCCTAAAATATTTACTCTCTAATATTTTATAGAAAACATGTGCCTGTATCTTAGATACACACATGTATAGCCCCTGAGTGATACAAATATGTCTTTGTGTGGTCATTTTTCATCTGAAGTCCTCTCTTTGGGTTCAACTTTTACTTAGACTTCAGAACATAATAAATAATTTATAGAAATTACTATATGATAAATACCATCAAAGACAATGAAGTTGATTTTTTAATGTGATCTGTAAACAAATTATCATTTTGTATAATCTTAGAGCAATAACAGAATTAATTTCTGAAAAGCATTTTGTTTGCCCAAACTCATAATCAACTGTGAAACCAAATTAAAAGTTAGGTGATGATAAAACCAGTTAATTTCCTGAAAAAGTATTAAATTAATACTCAATATTTCATGCATTTATTATAAATTAATATAGTGACCACTAGCATCCCATCAAATCTTTAAAGTTACTATGTAATAATCTGAAGTCAGAGTCACTTCAAGTTCACACTTTCACAATCTGGAAAACTGGTCAAACTTAAAGGGACAATATCTGCATTCAATATTCTAACTTCCATCTCAATATATATATATAATTTACACTTCACCAAAAAAAAAAAAACCTTTGAAATTAATACACCTTTTTTTTTCTTTTTGTAACACTAATTCTAGACTTTCTACAAATGTGTTTTAAGATAAAGAATAATTTAGCTAAATATTTATGGTAAGATCAAGTCTCTGTGGTAACATAAGTCTATGAAGAGCAAGAAAAATATGCACATCTATATGATGTAAATTTTGATGAGAAGCATTCATAAAAATCATTCCAAATATTAATCTTCCCCAGCCTGTATTGGAGAGATAGTAGTGTAGTTTTTCTTTCACAACCCCAGCCCTCAATGCATATACAAAAGCATAATTTTAGTCACCTAACATGCTCATCCATCACTTCTACCCATCTTGTGGAGGTACCACAGCAAATGAGGAAGAACTCAGGGCAGGAGAGGAAAAAGCAGAGAGGCAGAGTAGGCAGGCATTAGTTGGTGAACATGGATTTGTATGTTACTGTCGATGAGCGTGGACCTGTTCCTACCCTCACCCACAGAATTTGTGGTGGTCTGTAAAATAATACCCAAACAGCAGAAGTTAAGGGAAAATTGTCAGAGGCAGGATGAAAGTGGGAATTTAGGAACAAGGAGAGGTGAAAACTATCAATAGTCTTATTATGTATATCATTTGATGAATGAACCACTTAAATGTCTTTGAGCTTTTAGTGACAGCCTTCAAATACTTTACTGAGATCAGCCTCAGCTTACCAAGTAGTCACCAACAAATTAACTTCACAAGATTTTTCTGTCCTTTCCATTTTAGGGCTGCAGAAGGTCTATTTTTACTTCTATTCCAGGGCAATAACAAAGTCTTATTTTAAATTACATATAAAAAAATCTAGCAAATGTTTTTCTATGTGATAAAAAACCAACAGATCATAAATCATTTGATTCTTAGAAGTATTCTTGCTCGGAGTATAATGGACCAGGCGAGAAAATAACAAAAATAATGAACAACCATATACCAGAGACATTTTGCAGGGGTGGAGTGGGGAATGGGATCAAAAAGGGGGGGGGGAATGCACGGGATTCTGGTGATGGCACACGGGTGACTTGATGATGGGAAACCCACGGGGATTACAATTGAGATGGAAAAAAATGTACAAAATGATGTAAAAATAAACTTTTGTTTAAAAAAAGTATTCTTGCTCAAGTCTTTTAAAATTGTTCTCTGAAATATCTTGTGCACAATTTTTTTTATTTCTTAAAGAAATTGAGTCTTCAGTACTATTGCAAAATTAAATAATCTGTGAAAACAAACTATTAGTTCCACTTCTCCTACTAGCTCAAACATATATTCACCTGCACACACAAGGCTCTGACTCATTCTATCCAGGTGATGACGTAAAACTGAATCAAGTGAGAAATGCCAGCATTTAGAGTGTCAGTTATCCAATAGTCATATATAAATATCAAAATGACATTTGGGATTTACCTACCTACATAAAGAACACCCTCTTTTGTCTTTCCTGCTGCTTCTGCCACACCCTGTTTGGTTTTTTCAGCAGCCGCCACGACTCCCTCCTTAGCCTTGGAAAGTCCTTTCATGAATACATCCATGGCTAACGAGCTCCTTACAGCACACTGCAGAGCACAGAATACTTTGAATGAGAACTTAAAGGTAAAACAAAATTAGTAACACCTAAGTTAAAAAACACTGAAAGGTCAGTAGAACCCTCTAAAGGGTGATATTCTTTTAAGTATATCCTCATTGCAACCACTAAACAAAGCAGACTTTTGCTCAGCTTTTGCATTAAAAACTTAGCATGCTCCATTACCTTGATCAGTAAGAGCCTAGCCTCCTAAACTTAGATTAGGACCAATCATCTGAGCTGATCTTATTACCTTAAAAAGTGGAGTTACATGAAAGACAGACATCCTCTTTCAACTTCCCAGGCTCCAAATGGTGACAATGTACTTTAGAAGAAAGATCAAAAGAAAATAAAAGGAACTGGAGGCTTGGGGCTAGGGGCTCTCTTACAAATGAATCCCAGAGGGAAGCTAACAGGTTGATCACGTCAGACAGAAGGAAAGAGAGCTACTCACTCTGGGTGCGACTGCACCTAAGGCCTACCTCAAGCCCACACTCACTGGCAACCCTGGCTGGCACTAACTATCTCAGCCTTTAGCTATCATCTCCAACAGGCGCGGTTCACACCCTCGGCGGGTAGTCTGCAGACTCTCGATAGCCCCTAGGGGGCGTTCTCCCGGGGAGCAAAGCGCTCCCGACCTCACGCACCGCACCTGTTAACCCCTTACCACCTGTTGACTTGCCCTCCCAGCACTTCCGTTTAATTACTTGCCAAACGCAGTTTGTTTACTTTACAGAAAACCGAGACTGACGACTAGGGAAATTTAAGGTTAAGAGAGAAATAAAAGTTGGATGTGCACGCTTCACGGAGCACCCTCGGGTTTCCCAAAGGAAAAGCGTATCTCGGAGAAGCAATCTGGCTGATTTGCCCTTGGGGAAGAGAAGTGGGGGATCATGGGCAGGAAGTAGAGAGAAAGCAAGGACAATTTACTTAACTCAAGCCCTCCACAGGAGTAACCACCTCCGAGAGACTTGACACAGCTGGTCCTCTCTGCGGCATCATCGCTCCCAGGTGTCCACCACGACCCTTCTCCCACCAGGTTTTCCAAAGCCGCTCGTTTAGATCCGCAGGTTCTTACCTGAGTTCCCTGTGTCTCCAGAACTCCGATCCCCTTCCCCCCACCCTTTAATTTTTTTAAACAATTCCCAAATATTCAAATGATTAGAGGAGTGATAGGAGGGCACAGGAAGGGCGGAGGCACCAGGAGAGGGTAGTACCCAGAGGGGCTGCCGTCAGCTCAACAAGACGTGGAGAAGCTGGGGGCGTGGGAGGCAAACGCAAACCCTCCAACCTGTCGTAGAATTACCGCTCCCCGTCCGCCTCACAAGAAGATGCAAGAAAAAAGAGACAGAGGTTCGGAAGCGAAGAATAGAAAGCACAGGAGGCTAAAGGTGAGACTGTCCCAGGGTGTTAAACCAGCACACACCTTAACCCGCGTCGCCGCACCTGGTCGTTTGCCCCCTCTCCGGGTCCCCTTCTCGTCGTCGTGGTCTTCCTCCTCCTTCTCTTCCCCCCTCCTTCTCCTCCGCTCGCCACCCCCGCAGCTGATTTGTCAGCGCCTCTCCCCGCCCCTTTCCCAGCCGCGTGCACTTCACTCCTCTTCTAGGATGGGCTTGGGGGAAGGGGGGAGAGGGAAGGCTGTATCCTCCTATTTCCAGCCTCCAGCCCGGTCCCGGAGGCGGGGGGTGGGCGTGTTCAATAATTCACCCTCAAGTTCAGGGTCAAGGGGCTGTTGTGGCACGCGGGAGCGCTAGGAGTGGACTAACGTGTCTTCCTCTTTCCCAACCCCCAGCTTCACAGTCTCTGTCTTTTCCTCTGGTGCTCCCAGGGACCCCCATGTCAAGGCCAGCCTAGAGTGAGGGGGATCCATGGGATCGACTGCCAAAGATAGAGCCCATCTCTTTAGGATCCGCTGCAAGAGAGCAGGAGCTCAGAAGAGGGCTCACTTGGACGCTAAGAGCACGTTTCCCTTGGACCACTGAAATTTGATTTATAGTCATAGGGCACAATGCTAAGATGCTTTTGTTAAAACAGCCACTAGATTTTCCTTTGCTCGTAAAAGGATGAGCCCTAAAAGGTTCCGCGTGTGGAGAAGAGACCGGTAAATAAAAGAGTTACAGCCTAAGGAGGCTGGAAGAGAATCGTCAAATCCTCTTCCCACCCCACTATCACCATTTTCTTTTCCACCAATCAGCGGCTGCCAGACGCCAGTTTTCAGATCAGCGAACAAGAAATAAATATTCCCCAGCCGTCTAAACCAGCTGTAGTAAGGTTTTTTGGTACCGAAATGGAATTTACTTTTTAGACTCAATTGTCTGGGTGGAAGAGTCAAATCTAACGTAGTTTGTGCTCCTGAGCTAACATATCCGATTTGTTCTTTGGCAACTCTGATAGGTAGATTCCAAACACCACTCACCTTTCTGACTTCTCATTTACCTTCCCTTCACAGCTGATACCCCACCCTATTGCTTTCACTCACACACAAACACACACACACACACACACACACACAGAGAGAGAGAGAAAGAGAGAGAGAGAGAGAGAGAGAGAGAGAGAGAGAGAGGATCAGAGCCTTAAAGACAATTTTTGCATTACTTAACATTTCCACATTTCCACTTCTTTCAGAGCTGGAGGGAAAACAGCTGTTCTAGGATCACACTGAAATGGAGAAACAAGCTCCTCCCTCTAACAGAATGCCTATGCTTTTTTGCCGGTATTAGGAGGATGGTTATAGCTCTGGAAGGGGGAAGGGGGTAGTCTTTGCTGTATGCTTTTTAGTTTTGCTTTGTTTCTGTTTTTGTTTTTTTGTATGTGTGTGGTTTTTCTTTTTGTACATAAAAAGAAATACTTTCAATGATCTCCACACTCAATTTTAGCTGTGAAACTTGAATGAAATGTAATTTAAATCTACAAAACAACCATTATAAATAGGAAGCAAAATATTATTAATTTGTGTGTGTGTGTTTGTACAAGCCCTTGCACTTAAGATCTGCTTGTTTTAAAAGCAGACTTCTAACAGCCTTTATTTTGTTTACTTGGAATGGGAAAAACTTAAATGTGGGGCTTGTTTGCTGTCTGACTTGGAGACCTTACATACAGTTTTCTGTTGAAAAAAACCCTTTTTTCTTTTCTTTACAGAAAATATTCAAATGAATACAAGTCATGAGAAAAAAAAAGATTTCACCATTTTTCAATGAATGATTAACCATCTTTCATCTATATGCCTATCTATTCCCCAATATTTTGTCACTACTATATTTTTTATTAAATTCCAAGAATCACATGTTCTTTTATCTGCAGGTATTTCAATATGTATCATAAACTACACATAGGGCTATTTTAAGACCTACAATGCTGTTTGAGAAAAGGATGTCATTAATAGTCTTTAATTTTTTGTATTTTTTTTTAGCTAACATTGGTTTTATTTTATTTTTTTAAGATTTATTTATTTATGCAAACAGAACTGGGGTATGGGCCAGAGGTGTAGGGGATGAGAGGGCTCACCAGAGACAGAATGGGGAAAAGAACCAAGAACTGCCAGATTGATGACGTACACTGTTGAGGAGAACACCAGGGCAAGACAGGAGAGGTCTGCTCCATGTGAATCACTTCCCTTGTGGAGAATCAAACTTACACAGAAGCAGCTGTGGCTAGCTTCCTGGTGTCGCCCTTTAATCCATTGCAGCACCAGGTAGGGTGGAGATTAACATTGATTTAAAACATAATTCAAAGGTTCACACCTATTCAGATTATCACACCACACACACTACATACCACATATGTGACATACCACATACGTGACATACCACACACACCACAAAGGGACTCACAATCCTCCACTAACAGCTCATCAACACCCTCTATGCTTGTTTTCTCTAGCTCTCACTTCTTTTTCTGGTAGCCTCAATTCTATAACCATGTATCTAGGATTTTGTATTAATTTCACTTTATCTGACCTTTTGTTTTTTTCTTCGTATTCCACATGTAAGTGACACCATTCAGTATTTGTCCTTTTGACTTATTTCATTTAGCATAATCTCCAGTTTCATTCTTGTTGTCTGGTAAATGACAAGAGTTCATCTTCTTTTTTTATAGATGCATAGGAGTCTACTGTAAATATAATATCATATCTTAATCTACTCATCTGTCCTTGGGCAAGTTGTTTCTGTAATTTGGTTATTGTAAATAGTGCTGCAGTGGACATAGGAGTGCATATATGCTTCCAAATGCAGATGTTTTTTAATTATTTTGATAGATATCTAGGCAGAAAATTTCTGGGTAGATCTACTTGTAAGAGTTTGGAAGCCTCCTTTTAGTTTTCCATAGGGACTGACCTGTCCCTATGGACAGGGTGTGGAGGTTCACTTTTTATAACCCTAACCAACATGTATAGTGGCTAATCTTTTTGATATGGCCATTATGAGACTATGAGTTTGTATTTCATTGTGGTTTTGATTTATATTCCCTAATGATAAGTGATAATAAACCATCTTTATCTCTTCTCTGGAAAAGTGATTATTTAGCTCTTCGATCCATATTTTGATTGGGTTTTCTTATTGTTGAGTTGTCTGAGTTCTTTGTATATCTTGTACATTAGTCACTTGCAGGATAAGCAGATATTTTCTTCCATTGAAAAATGAAACTTTTCATTTTAATGATGATTTCTTTCTCTGTGAAGAAGCAATTTGGTTTGATGTTTATTCTTTTTTTTTTTTTAAAAGATTTATTTCTGCATATAAGAACTGGCCAGAGGTGAGAAGCAGGAAGTGAGAGAGAACTCACCAGATACAGAGTGGATCTACTGAAATACACTGCTGAGGGGAGCAGCAGGCAAGACAGGAGAAATCTGCTGTGACATGTAGGTCAGCTCCCTGGCCAGATAGAACTCATGCTGCAATGACTGCTGATAGCTTGCCAGCGTTGAGACTTAACCTCTGTGCCACCAGGGAGGCCCTGGATATTTATTCTTGCTTTTGTTTCCTTTGCCATAGGAGTAAAGACATTTATGAAGCCAATAACTGAGTGTTTTTTTTTTTTTAAAGATTTATTTATTTATGCATACAGAACTGGGGTACAGGCCAGAGGCTCAGGGGTGGCGAGAGGCTTCACCAGAGACAGAGTGGGGAACAGAACAGGCAGATCGACGAAGTACAATGCTGAGGGGAGCAGCGGGCGGGTCAGGAGAGGTCTGCCTCGCCATGTGGTCACCTCCTTGGCAGGCGGGAATCGAACTCATGCGGAAGCGGCTTTAGATTCTCAGTGCTGTGCTTTAACCCACTGCGCCACCAGGAAGGGCCCTGAGTGTTTTATTTACATTAAAAACTCATACTAACACTTACTCTATTATAAATTAATTGAAATATAATTTACATAGAATGAAATGGTAATATCTTATATTTTCATTTAAATGAGTTTTAAACAATGCATTCATTAATGTAATCTACACTATTTTGAAGAGAACATTTTTATTACCCCCAGAAAGTTATCTTGTGCCATCTTAGTTATATCCTAGAGATTTTCCTAAAAATAGAAGTTCATAT